TTTTCCACCCAGAACAATAAGCAAAGAAATTGCAGGGTTGGAAAGCACCTAAAGGTTACTGTGGGTTAAGTTGCCAGACTTAGCAGCAAAAACACAGTGTTCTTGGCATCTCTGAATTTAAAGCCACAAAATAGGTCAGGACTGTGTGCTGAGCCCAGTCTGTGAGCATAAGTAGCCCCTGAGCTTTTATCTCTCGGCAGTGAGCAGGGAACACAAACAATCCAAACCGCTCTTCAGGCGACAGATGACAACGTCTGTACCTTGTCTGCAATTTCAGGTGGTGAGTGCCACATTCTAGAGTTAGAGGAGAATGATATGTGGCCACATTTTCATGAAAAGGCTCTGGGATGGGTCACTGTCATAAAGGTTACTGCAGCCTCGGCACTGGGTGCTGTCCTGCCATCTTCTAGACCCCAAACCTGACCTGGTTCTCTTCCTACAAATGAGGCTGTAGTTGGTCTGCTGCCCATACTAGCCTCACCACGGGGAGCCAGTGAGTATGGCCCCTTTGGGAAGGATGACCCCCAAGGGCCTTGACAGGACACACAGCCACACACTTCACACTGCAGAGATACCAATCCTTTCATAGTCTAAAAGGTGCCCATGCAAAGACAAAATACCAGTGAGGTTGTTTGCGGGTTTCCTGGAGGGGAGGAGATAGACAATTATTCAAAGGCTATTTACTTGATTTAGCAGAGAGAACAGGGCGGACGTTGAGGGTGGTGGGTGAGGTGATGGTTTGGAAGCAGGAGGAGGTAGAAAGCTGACTAACTGCAGAAAGGCCATGTCCTGCAGTGCTGGTGTGTGGGGTGGTGGGGTCAGTGGGAAGTGAGCAGCCCGTGCAAGTCCTCGATGAGGACTCAGGCATGCTGTGGGATGCACACCTGAGCACACAGCGGCAGGTTTCCAAGTAGGGTGATCATGATCCCACCGCAGAGTGTGGAGGAAGAGCTGGGCCTGACATGCTGCAGCACAGGGTCCGCACAGGAACTTTTGCCTTATTGGGAGTTCAGTGCCAGAGGGTGGCCAGGATAAAGGTGGAGGAAAAAAAAGGAGTGGGAGGAGAATATCCCCAAGAAGGAAGGTAGGGAGGTGGAGGGAAGGTCAAAGGAAGGAGAGACAGAGGCCCTGCCCGTCCCAGGCATGAGTCAAGAGCAAAAGACCAGAGCAGGAAGCAGGGCTCAAAATTAGCAGGGAGTTGGCCCGGCGTGGTGGCTCATGCCTGTAATCTCAGCACTTTGGGAGGCCGAGGCGGGCAGATTACCTGAGGTCAGGAGTTTGAGACCAGCCTGACCAACATGGAGAAACCCTGTCTCTGCTAAAAATACAAAATAAGCCACCATGGTGGCGCATGCCTGTAATCCAAGCTACTCGGGAGGCTGAGGCAGGAGAATCGCTCGAACATGGGAGGCGGCGAAGGTTGTGGTGAGCCAAGATTGCGCCATTGCACTCCAGCCTGGGTGACAAGAGCAAAACTCTGTATATAAAAAAAAATAAAGTAGAGAACTGGGCGCTAGACCCCAGCCTTCTGGCCATGAGTAGTACCTGTGAAGCAGTTCTACTATTTCAAATGAAAAACCTTCACATCTGTCATCAGATTGGATTAGAACATCTTTGTGATGGAGGCAGAGTCAAGGGTTGGCTCTTTGTGATGGAAGCAGAGTCTCCATCTAACAAGGAAGGGAATGGAGGCACATGGAGCTAAAGTGACTTGCCCAAGGCCCAGTCACATCCCATTCCTTTCACAGGTCAGGCCAAGAGAAAGAACAAGGAGTTTGGTGGGCCCGGCTTCCCTCTCCACATTGGGCCTTCCTGACTTGCCAATGGCCTCTTTCCCTTGGCTCCATAGATCTGCACTCTGAGCTGGCATCCAGATCCCCAGGATGCTAGGCCACTAGATCTCCCCGACCTTGGGACTTCAAAGGCCCTGCTGTGCTGTGGGGTCCTGCCACCTTAGGATGGACAGGGGATGGGTGGATCCGACTCCACTTCCCTCTCCTGGCACTTTCCTCTAAACTGTGTCTGCCTGGAGTCTCCTCTCGAGCTCCACGTCAGTTCCGCTCACCTCCCCGCTGGGCCTGGCTGGGTGTTTGGGCCACACCCGCCATCAGCCCCTTTCAATCCATGCTCCTATTGCCCTGCCAGGGCTTTCCCCAGCCCCTCCTCATCCTTTCTTGAGCCCTTCACTTTTTCTTACTGGAAAAAATTATTGACTAGATGGGAGCCTGCCAGTGTTTTATTGCTCAGATAAGGGATTTTCATATCAGTCTTGATGAGAAACAGTTGAGGACTAGTCTTGCCACCTCCTGCAAAAGGTAATTTCATTTGGCCAAGTCTGAATGCACTTGGGAAACTGAGCTGCTCTGGGGGTGGAGGGAAATTAACAACTTTATAATGTGAGCCACCTGCCCACTCACCTGCGGCTGGAAAGATACTGAGCTTCTGCCAGGTAGGATGTGGGAGCACAGCTGACTTGGACATTGCCCCTTCTCAGCCCTTGTTTTAGGACCTGACTCCTCACTCTACCCACAGCCAGGACCCTTATACTGTAGAGGACAGGGTGGACAACACTCAAGCTTCTAAAAGGAAATAACAGGTTGGGGACAGTGGCTCACACCTGTAATCCCAGCACTTGTGGGGGCTGAGGTGGGAGGATCACTCGAGCCAAGAACTTCAAGACCAGACTGGGAAATATAGCAAGACTCCATCTCTACTAAAATTTTAAATTAAAAAAAAATTTTAAGGAAATAACAGGGTGACCCATTAATGAGAAAAATTGAGAAAACTGCATTTACACAGTATCCCACCTCTCCACTCAAAGCCGGTAACCTGGAAACATTCTGCAGTCAACATGGCCCAGGAAATCCCCTCTTATGAAGTGTGAGGGGTTTCTGAGGGAGAGGAGCGAAGGGTAAAATCCAGGGGTCTTCATTATTCCTGTCTCCAGGAAAATTTGTTAATTCTTGCGTCGCCCCTGGAGCCGTCCATAGCAACCCAAACATTTCCAATGTGTGATGGAACAATGGCTTCCAAGGGGCTCCAGAAGTCAGAAAAAACCTTTAAGATTGTTTTGTCCAGTGGTTAGCACACTCTTTAGCCTTTTGTCTAACAGACTTGTTTCCAGAAAGCTCAATGTTCAGGATAGACACCGGCGAGCAGCTCTGATGGAAACAGGAGGACAGCCCTGTGGAGCCATCACTTTCCTTCCTCCCAGCTCAAGGCCAGCAAGCAGCCCCTTGTTTATGAACATGGAGGGTAGAGAGGAGATGTAGTGGTGGAGGTGGTGGTGATGGCCCATGGAGGCAGCCTGAAAACCACTTATCTAGTCCTCTCTTACAAATGAAGAAACTGAGGCCAGGAGGGGAAGTCATTTGCCTAATATCATGCAGAGTTCCTTCAGGGTCCATGCCTTGGTCAATGGACCAATTGGCTCTGTTCTCATTCTTTCCCAGGGGCCACTGCTCCATCCATGCATTGATGCATCCATTTATCCATCCATCCATCCATCCATCCATCCATCCCTCCCTCCCTCCCTCCATCCCTCCATCCATCCATCCATCCATACATACATACATACATACATACATACACCCACCCACCAACCAGTATCAGTGGAGCTCTGTGCTTTCCATTGCACTGGCCACAGATGATTCTGTGATTATGACATGAGCCCTGCTCCTTGCAGTCAATGCCACCTTCTCAGCAAACCTGGTATCTGCAAATTTTTCCCACCCCCAGCACAAGCCCCCACCCTGCCTGTCACTCAGGCTCCCAGCAGCCAGAGCTAAAGATAGAATTGAGGGCAGCGTTTTAAGTCAGCAGCGCACAGACCTGGCTGGCCGAGTGGGGAGAGAGGGAGCTAAGCTGAGTTAGGAGACCTCCTCAAAGCAGTCAGGCTGCCTTTCTCTGATAATGGACTATTCCCATGAGACTGGCAGTAGCTGCTGCTGGCCTTCCTCCTGTGGAGAGAGATCCTTGGACCAGCCTGATGGAGCTTGGTCTGACAGCTCACTCCAAGCCCAGCCTTCCCTGGCTCGTAGATGGATTTGTGCTGGCTTTTTCTCCTCTGTACCCACTGCTCTGCTAACCCCCGGGCTTTGATTATTCCCAAAGCCAGCAAAGACCCCACTTCTACGGATCCGTTCTGCCCTTATGCTGATGTTCATGGGTTAGGGTGAGAGCCAGGGGAAGCTAAAAGATGAGGCCCAGGATTGTGGAGGTCAGGCCCTCCCCTGGGAGTCCTGGGGCTTATACCTGGGGGATTCTGATGGCTGTCAGAACCTGGATGTTGCCTTCAGGACTTTATGGAGGATGGGGTCACCCATCACCCACCCACCTATCTGATTTTCTCCTCCTTTCTCTGGGATACTCCTATCTCTCTGCTGCTCCCTGCTGTGTGCCAACTGATGTTCACAAGCATCACACTCTCATGGCATGGAAGTGAGAGGTGTGGGGGAGGAGAAACACCTGGATCTGTGCTGACTCCTGCCCAGAGTTCTCCACTCTCCAGGCCTGGAGGGGCCGTTGGAAGAAAAGTGGGAGGAGAGGTAGGATGAGCCGACTTGAGCCGCTCACTTAGAAACGTGCAACAGGTATGAAAGCTGCTTCCTTTCATGCCTGGGCCTACCTGAAATCTGAATCAAGTGGGTCTGAAGGTGGATCAGAGGTCCCCAGGAAGACAGGCTGCCCCAGGATTTAGCCCAAGTGATGAGATGTGTGCTGACCACTCTAGGGGCTCCACTCAGCACTTCAGCAGCACCACTACTGCACCAAATGAAGTAACAGAGACAGATGTCACCCGAAGCCCTCCAGATGGGTGGTGGGCCCATGTCGGCCATGCTTTCTGACTCACAGGGTTTGGGGAGAGTGTCCAGGGAGGAGCAGGCTGGAGTGCCAGTGGAGGCAGGTCTGCCTGTCATTCACCCTCTTCCCCACGCGTGGACGATCCCTCCAAGAACCTGCTTTCCAGGTACAGAAATAGTATGGAAGGGTGGGGTGCGGAGGCTGGGGCTGCCACATGCTGCTTTGCCATGGGCATTCTGGGTAAGAATAATAATGAGGCTATTAATAACTTCTTACCTCTGTATAAGTCTTAAAGACCTCTCTCAAGATGTGTCTCACCGCCTGCACACCCATGATCTCATTCCATTTTCAAGACAACTTTGTACATCTGTGGGACCATGGCCCCTATTTGGTAGTAGAGGACACCGAGGCACAGGGAGGGGATTGTTACATGCTAATCAGGCCATACTGCTAATAAGTGGCTGAGCAGGTACTGGAGCCCAGATTTCCGGGGGTCATCTCTTCGGTCATCCCATTGCAATGTGTAGTTCCAGAAAGCCAGAGTTTTCTGCTGGGTTATTTTGAAGCTACCTCTGGGAACAAAGTAGTACAGAGCCTCCCAGGCCAATGCATTTGTTCCCAGGTCAGTCAAGAGCCGTTTACCCAGCACTTCCATAATCTATACCCTGTGCCAGACCTCACACAGCCATCAACAAAACATAGTTCTTGCCATCAAAGAGCTCATGGTTTGGTGAGAAGAGACTGAAATCCTTAGATCATCTCAATACCATAGGATTCATGTAGGGACCAAGGTAGCACAGGGTGTTGTGGGAGTACACAGGAGGATCCCTAAGCCAGCATGGAAGCATCAGAGAGGGTTTCCCGAAGGAGGTGATGTACCAACCAGTTCCTTAACCAAGGTATTCTCTCTGATTGTGCCACTCTTCTAAATATCAGCCTACACCAGGCTGGGCACGGTGGCTCATGCCTGTAATCCCAGCACTTTGGGAGGCCAAGGCGGGTGGATCACCTGAGGTCAGGAGTTCGAGACCAGCCTGGCCAACATGGAGAAACTCCATCTCTACTAAAAAATACAAAATAAGCTGGGTGTGGTGGTGTGAGCCTGGGATCCCAGCTACTCAGGAGGCTGAGGCAGGAGGATCACTTGAACCCTGGAAGGCAGAGTACAGTGAGCCGAGATCATGCCATTATACTCCAGCCTAGGCAACAAGAGTGAAACTCCGTCACAGAAAAACAAACAAAAAAACCCAACATACACCCTTTCTCCTTACCCACAACCCTACCCTCTGGCTTCTTTCAGGTCAGGTATAACCAAGCAGCAGTAGCTAGAAGCCAGAACAAACCCATCCTGCAGCCCAGGGCTTGCCCCCATCAGACCCCATGGCTGGAAATGGACAAAGGATTGGACTCTGAGCCCAGCTCTACCTCAGACTTGCTGCTCATGCAGCAGTGTAGATTCCGGGGGTTGGTGAGTTACCTGATTCACCAGCCTACCCTTAGTTCAGTCTGCTCAGCAATCATCTCAGATGTGCAAAAACCTAGCCTACTTTTTAAAGTAGGCTGATCAGATTGCACGTTGCTCTAGCTAATTCCCGGCATTTAATGTTCTTCCCTAACCTGGATCTGTCATTTCTGTCATGACTAAAACTTAACCTTTTTCTATTTGGTCTTTAGAGGAGACAGGGCAGTCGGTCATATTTCTCAAGGCAAAGGGCCTCCTTAGGCTTGAAAGCCATAATCAAATCGCCCCTTAGGCTTCTCCATCTGAGGTTGATGGATCTCAGTTGCTTTCCTGGTTAATTACAGCTGTATCCTTTCTTCCTCTTAAGGCCTCTGCCCTTATCCTTTAGCTGAGGAATCCAAGACTGGACAAAGAGTAGCCCCAAAGTGCCCATCTGACCTGACGACAGTGGGAAAAGGATAGGAACCATGGGACAATCTATGGGGTTGGCATGGAGAATCTGGTGTGCAGGAGTGGCAGGAGACAGTTAGCAGAGGTCAGATCATGCCAGCTTCATCCACCCGAGGCAAAAAAGGGACACTCTGTGGAATCCTGAGCTGCTCCACCCCTTCAGGGATGGACAGATGTAAAGAGAAGAAGCTTGTGACTACCCTCCAACCCCTCAGGGATGGACAGATAGTAAAGAGAAGCTTGTGACTATAGCTGTGGAGGGGCAAAAAGCAAAGGAACTCCAGGAGCCCGTAAGGGAGAAGTGTTTGGCTAGGGCAGGAGTGCCGAAAGTGGAGCATCACAGGGAAGCCACATGCGATAAGGACTGAGAAGTGGCCATTGGATTTCAAAACAAGGAAGTCATTGGAGACCCAGGGAGAGCAGCCTGAGTGAAGGGGTGAGAGCAAAATGTGGAGGCAGGCAATGTGCATGACTCTCTCAAGAAGTCTGGCTGTGAAGGAAGACATGGTTACCAGCCTCCAAATGCCCCCCCCCGTGATCCAACATCTTGGTATCCTCAGCCTTGTTTGTTCCCTCCCACATCGTATTGGAGTTGGTCTGTGTGCCCAGTAGGACACAGCAGAAGGGATGGACTGTCACTCCCAAGATTCAAGTACAGTAGCTCCTTGACTCATGAGGGGGTTACATCCCAATTAACCCATCATAAGGGGAAAATACCATAAGTCAAAAATGCATTTACGTTGGGCATAATGGCTCACACCTGTAATCGAAGCACTTTGGGAGGCTGAGGTGGGAGGATTGCTTGAGTTCAGGAGTTTGAGACTAGCCTGGGCAACACAGTAAGACCCTGTCTCTATTAAAAAAATGCAAAAATTAGCCAAGCATGGTGGCACACATCTATGGTCCCAAGTAATCCCAACTACTTGGGAAGCTGAGGCAGGAGTTCGAGGATACAGTGAGCCACGATCATGCCACTGCACTCCATCCAGCCTGAGCATTTAACAAACCTAATTTACCAAACAACATAGTTTAGCCTAGCCTACTTTTTTTTTGAAATGGAATCTTACTCTGTCATTCAGGCTGGAATGCAGTGGCGTGATCATGGCTCACTGCAACCTCCACCTCCTGAGTTCAAGTGATTCTCCTGCCCCAGCCTCCCAAGTAGCTGGGACTGCAGAAATGCACCACCACGCCTTATTTTTGTATTTTAGTAGAGACAGCATTTCACTATGTTGGCCAGGCTGGTCTCAAACTCCTGACCTCAAGTGATCCACCCACCTCAGCCTCCCAAAGTGCTGGAATTAAAGGAGTGAGCCACTGTACCTGGTGGCTACTAACCTGCTTTAAGCATGCTCAGTACACTTATGTTAGCCTCCAGTTGGACAAAATCATCCTGTAACACGCCACACCACAGACTACTGGTTGTTTTTTGTTTTGTTTTGTTTTTGAGACAGTGTTGTTCTGTCACCCAGGCTGGAGAGCAGTGGTGCAAACTTGGCTCACTGCAACCTCCACCTCCCAGGTTCAAGCAATTCTAGGGCCTCAGCCACCTGAGTAGCTGGGATTACAGGTGTGTGCCACCACACCTGGATAATTTTTGTATTTTTAGTAGAGACAGGGTTTTTCCATGTTGCTCAGGCAGGTCTCAAACTCCCGGCCTCAAGTGATCCACCAGCCTGAGCCTCCCAGAGTGCTGGGCTTACAGGTGTGAGCCACTGTGCCTGGCCAAGTATTGGCTGTTTACCTTTGTGCTTCCATGCTGACTGGGAGCTGGCACTTACTACCACTGCCCAGCATCACAAGGGAGTATTATACTGAATTGCCAGCCTAGGAAAAGATCAAAATTCAAAATATGATTTCTACTTAATGTATAGTATTTTTTCACCATTGTATAGTTGAAAAATCTTAAGTGGAACCATGGTAAGTCAGGGATCATCTGTGTAAAATACATCGTAGCTTCCATTTTAGCCTCATTTGGTCTGATTCATCACTCTGGAGGAAGCTTGCTGCATGTGATAAGGCCCAGGTGGCGAGGAATTTAGGCTTCCTGCCAATAGGCATGACAGTGAACCGCGTTGGAAACAGATCTTCCAGCCCCAGTCAAACCTTCAGGAAACTGCAGCCCCATCTTGACTGCAGGCTCATGAAGAGACCTGAGCCATCTTGCCTAGCTACTCCCTGATACCTGACTCTCAGAATTTTTTTTTTTTTATCTTTTGAGACCTGGTCTCACCCTGTTACCCAGGCTGGAGCGCAGTGATGTCACTATGGCTCACTGCAGCCTTGATCTTCCAGGCTCAAGCAATCCTCCTGTCTCAGCCTTCCAAGTAGCTAGGACTGTAGGCATGTGCCACCAAGACCAGCTACATTTTTTTGTATTTTTTGTTGAGATACGGTTTCGCCACGTTGCCCAGGCTGGCCTTGAACTCCTGAGCTCAAGCGATCTTGCCCACTTGAGCCTCCCAAAGTGCTGAGCTTACAGGTGTGAGCCCCTCCACCAGGCCTTGTTTATTGTTTTATGTTTGTTGTTTTAAGCTGCTAAATTTTGGGGTAATTTGTTACACAAGCAATAGAGAATGAAGGTAGGGAGACTGAGATAAGGATGTGAGGACCAGGGAGAGGATTTTTGTTTTGTTTTTAAAGAGTGAATCTCAAACATGTTTAAATGCTAATGACAAGAAGCCAGTAGAGAGGGGAAAGTGGAAAATTAGAGAGAAGGGCATGGAAAATCAATTGAATGAGGTTTTCGGGCAGGTGGAAAGGGAAAGGGCCTAATGTAAGGCGTTAGCCTGAGTTTCTAAGAGGGACACCTGGATCCTCTCCCACTGTGACCAGAGAGCAAAGGAAGAAAGGACAAAACCTGTTTGGTGACAGGATGCTGATGGAATTTCTGCCAAATGTCTTATTTTCTCATGATATTATCTGCTGAGAATGTGGAGGGAGATGTTGGGGAAGGTGCTATCTTGAAAAAAGTGGAGAAAGTCTGAAAGAGCTGATGTTGAGCTCTAGAAAGAGAGAGCTAAGGAAAGAGAAGAAAACTCTCGGCCATATGAAAACTTGGCATGATGAAGGCCATGACTGTCTAGTCCCCTCAGTCTGGGCAGCTGTGTGATTTTTCTCCAGTGGTGCCCAGAATGCTAGATATGGGTGCAGAAAAAGGCGAATAATTGAATTACCTTTGAGCTGGGGCTCTGCCAAAGGGGAATCATGAAAACACAAGGGGGCCACGGAGATGAGGCTCTTCAAATAAGAGTGATTAGAAGAGGCCAGGTGCAGCGGCTCACGCCGGTAATCCCAGCACTTTGGGATACTGAGGCGAGTAGATCACTTTGAGCTCAGGAATTCAAGATGAGCCTGGCCAACATGGTAAAACCCTGTGTCTAACAAAAGTACAAAAAGTAGCTGGGCATTGGTAGCTGGCCCTTGTAATCCAAGCTACAGCTATTAATACATGGGAGGCTAAGGTGGGAGAATCGCTTGAACCCAGGGGGCGGAGGTTGCAGTGAGCCGAGACCACACCACTGCACTCCAGCTTGGGTGACAAAGCAAGACCTGGTCTCAAAAAAAAAAAAAAGAATGGAACGTGGATCCAGGATGGAAGGGAAAATAGGAAGGGCTAATACAAGGAGACAAGAAAAAGCCAGTGGTCTCTCGGTGGACCAGCACTGTCTCAAGGAAGTCGTAGTTTGATAGGCTGGGGAAGAGCACGAAGCGCGTGGGGTTGTAGCCCACCTGCAGAAAATTTGGATCTAACATTCCAGAGGTGGGGCAGCTCTGAAATGACCAGGTTCAGGGGGTGGCTGTGGAATGGAGACCTACAGTAGAGTGACCAAGCTATTAGGAGGGTGGTCCCTATGGATGTGACATCATCCCAGATGATTATGACATTTAACTTTGCAGCTATTAACAAGCAGAGTGAGGTCTTCTGTGAGCAAGTGGATCCATGACAGCACCAGGAAGAGCAGAGTGTAGAGTAGGTGGCAGAAGCCCCGCTGGAGCTTCCATGAGACAGTGAGGCAGGGCAGGGCTTAATGGCTTATGGATCCGGAGGCTGCCATCTGCTTCCTGAGTTTAAAGCCTGAGAAGAAAACCTCAGCTTCCACCTGAGAAGGCACCAAGGGAAGCCTTGTCCTTCTGGGAGAGCCAGACCATCAGGCCACAGAGACGAGGGGGAGGAAGAGCAGGAGGTCCCCAGAGGTCCAGGGGAAATTTCGAATGGATGGGAAGCCACGAAAGGAGGGAAGGGGAATCCTAGAAGAATCTGAGAGGAGAGCAGAAGCCTGGCTGGCAGAAGGGGCTACTTACTTCTTGAGGACAGTAGATTTGGCTGGCTTCAATTTTTAAAGAACTTCATCTGGGTAATGAGTTACTGAGGCCTCTCTGAAGGGGTCAAAAGCAGCCCTGGACCACGTGCACAGGCTGGCGCCACGACTCAGCGTGGGTTGGAATTAGCAGTGGCCTCTGGTGGCTGGTGGTGGGGATGGGGGGCTGATGAGTGGGGGGAGGGTTTGGCCAATTGATGTAGAGTTAGCTGAGGCCTGGATGGCTGCAGCCCTGGAAGGGGCTGCAGGTTTCCCCACGGGCTCCTGGACCAGAGTCTGGCCCTGTGTCCTGAAGATGCAGGGTACCAAGCATGGTTTGGGAAGTGAGCTGTTTGGCCTGAGCTTAGCAGCAAGTAAGAACAAGTCCTCAGAAGCTCAGTCACATGATTATTGAGGCCTGTTTGGTTTGGTTTTGAGACAGGGGCTCATGCTGTCGCCCAGGCTGGAGTGCAGTGGAACAGTCTGGGATCTCCCAGCAGTCTCAAGGGGTCCTCAGACTCCCAAGTAGCTGGGACCATAGGCTCACACCACCACGCTCAGCTAATATCTTGTATGTTTTATAGAGATGGGGTTTTTCCATGTTGCCTAGGGTGGTCTCGAACTCCTGGTCCCAAGCGATCCGCCCACCTCGGCCTCTCAAAGTGCTGGGATTACAGGCATGAGCCACTGCTCCCCAGCCACCTGTTTTTATGCATTCCCGTTTCCTGCTGGTTTCTGAGGCATAGCCATCTTGCCAACACAATGACCCAGGGACTTTCCCCACCTGCCCTCTCCCCTCCATAGATAGAGACAGTGCTACTTGCTCCCCGCAGTCTGCTGGCCGCATGCTGCTGCTCTCACAGCTCCAAGCTCTCCGCTCTAGATAACTTCTCCACTTGGCGTCTCACCCAGTCCTCCAAGATGCTGCATGGGTCCTGCCACAGGCTCTCACACGCATTGTCCACATCCCCGACACCATCACATGAAACAGACACACTTCCTTGTCCACTGCAGAGGGTGGACAGCAAGGAGTTCCAGAGGGTGCAGGGAAAAGTGGAGAAAGCAGACAGAGTTCCCCAGACCCAGGGCTTGTTCTTCTTACCCACGGAATGGAGCTAATCACCTCTGCCTGATTCCTTCACAGCAGTCATGCCAAGATGTGTATAAAACGTTCTCTGACAAAACTGTTCAAAAGTGCCCATTTAATTATTTTCTAGGTACAAAGAAATATTTTCTGGGCAATGCTATAATAGCTCTCTGGATGTGTCTGTAATAACTAGCATTTGCACAGCACTTTTTTTTTTTTTTAAGATGGAATTTTGCTCTTGTTGCCCGGGCTGGAGTGCAATGGCATGATCTCGGCTCACTGCAACCTCTACCTCCCAGGTTCAGGCAACTCTCCTGCCCCAGCCTCCCAAGTAGCTGGGATTACAGGCACCTGCCACCACACCCAGATAATTTTTTATCTTTTTAGTAGAGACAGGGTTTCACCATGTTGGCCAGGCTGGTTTTAAACTCCTGACCTCAGGTGATCCACCCACCTCCGCCTCCCAAAATGCTGGGATTACAGACCAAAGTGCTAGGATTATAGGCGTGAGCTACCGTGCCCTACCTGCACAGCACTTTCTAACCTGCAAAGCACATTCACAAACTTGCTTAGGGGCAATCCTATTTGAAAGGGCCTAGCATTGAGTCTGACATACAGAATAGACTCAGTAAATGATAGTTATGATTTTCTTAGTCCTCACAGCTCCATATTACAAATGAAAAAAACTGACGTTTAAAGGGGTTAATAGACCTACCCAAGTTTCTCTCAGAAATTGTTCCAAGCCGAGCACAGTGACTCCCCTGTAATCCCAGCGCTTTGGGAGGTCGAGGCAGGAAGATCGCTTGAGCCCAGGAGTTTGAGAGCAACTTGGGCAACATAGTGAGACCTCAACTCTACAAAAAACAAAAAAAATTAGCTAGGCATGGTGGCGCGTGGCTGTAGTCCCAGCTACTCAGAGGCTGGGGTGCAAGGATCACTTGAGCCCACGAGTTTGAGGCTGTAGTAAGTTGTGATCAAACCTCTGCAGCTTCAAAACTGAAGGCTTTTGACTCCAAATCTCCAGCCCTTTAAATTACATCACCTGCTTCTGCGGGAAACACCAGACCCCTTCTCAATGATCCTAATAAGCTTTGGAGAGAGGCAAGAGTCCCCTGGGGAGGGGAAATGGAGCATATGGCTTTGGGCTTCTTTGCTGCCCTCCTTCTATAGGACAATCCTGAGAAGCAACCTACAGAAATCCCTAGTCCAGGAACAAGTGGAGGAAAAGGGAGTAGAAAGCAGGGAGAGGAAGAAAATAAACAACCAAGCTGAAGACAGCCAGAGAAAGTAAATGTGACCAGTGAGGCAGAGAGCTGATGGATGGCAGCGTCTCTGGAGGAGGAAATGTGGCCCCAGAGGACAGAGGGAGGGTGCAGGAGGCCCAGGGATGGGGGCTGGGAGAGTGGTTCTTGGTGAATCAGGCGTGCAAGGAGCTGTTGTTTCTCCTTGGTGCAGGATATTGATGGCTTATTGACCCAAAGCATGGGAGAGGGAGCCTGCTGGGGGAGAGGGAGTTCAGCCCAGGGCTGGCTGGGGGAGTAGGGAGGCAGGGGCTGCGGGAATGGGTGGGAAAGGAGGCCAGGGAGCAGGGATCCATGTGAGGGACGGAGAGGAATGGAGGAAGCAGGTAGGGTGACTCCTTGTGGAGCAGGAGAGGGCATTGACCTAGCACCTGGCCTGGTTTTCTGAGGTTGCCTGGGGTCACTTGGGTGCTAGAAACCACTAGCTACTCTGCCCAGCCTTCCCAGTTGTCAAATCTCTTTGAAGACCTTGGACATGCTGGCCCCAGATGCTTAGCATTCATCGGATAACACTCAGACGGTTGCGACAAAATTAGCCAATTTCCAAAACCCATTAAATACTCCTCCTGATAGCATCTCTCTCAGGGCCATTTTCAAAAGCATGAACTGCCTGGGAAGGCTTCACCGTGACTAGTTCTAGGCTGCCTTCTCCCTCCCATGTAGCCTGATTCCACGAACTGAGTGACTTCCCTCCATGGCTCCTGTGTGGGGGCACAGCTCTTGCTTCTAGAATCCTGCTGCTGAGACCCAAGGTGGCCCTCCTAGGAAGTCCTATTGCATACACCCAGCCCTGACTGATGGACAACACACCAGGCTCCTAGACTGTGGTTTCCAGCTCCAACTTGGCAGGAAAGTGGCTGCATGACCCTCAACCCCAAGCTCCGGTGACCCCTCTTATAAGATGGAAATAAAATGAATTTATATCTCATTGGGAAAAGGAAATGAAAATTTAAAAGTCAGAGAATTGAAAAGGATCTTTATTTTATGTATTTTCTTTTTTAGATGGAGTTTCACTCTTGTTGCCAGACCAGAGTGCAATGGCACAATCTCGGCTCACTGCAACCTCCACCTCCTAGGTTCAAGTGATTCTCCTGCCTTAGCTTCCCGAGTAGCTGGAATTACAGGTGCCCACCACTATGCCCAGCTAATTTTTTGTATTTTTAATAAAGACGGGTTTCACCATTTTGGCCAGCCTCCCAAGTAGCTGAGATTACAGGCATGCACCACCACACCTGGTAAATTTTTTTGTATTTAGTAGAGATGGGGTTTCACCATGTTAGTTAGGCTAGTGTCAAACTCCTGACCTCAGGTGATCCACCTGCCTACTCTGACCTCAGGTGATCCACCTGCCTCAGCCTCCCAAAGTGCTGGGATTACAGGCATGCGCCATTGTGCCCATCAAAGGATCTTTAATATGACCTACCTACCTCCTTCACTTTTTATGTAAGAAAACCAACACCCGGAGAGGGGATGAGACCTTCTGATGGCACGCAGCTGCTGGCAGCAAGGGCAAGTCAAGAAACCAAGCCCTCACTCTTTCCTTGGCTCAGTCTTGTAAAGAGAGCTGGGTGATATAACCATTAGACTCCTAGAGAGAGCATTGGATTTGGAGTCTGAAGGACAAATCCTGACCTTAATACCTGGATAACCCTGGGCAAGTTACTTAACCTGTTTGCCTTGGCTTCCACATCTATCTAAGGGAGACAACAGTGCCTCTCATATGAGGCGTTGTAATCAGATTAGAAAATGGCATCTTGCTGGCTAATGCCCTTTTCAGCCTTAGCCAACCTGCACCCAGGTAAATTAAAAGAAAAAAAAAAGGCCAGGTGCGGTGGCTCACGCCTGTAATCCCAGAACTTCGGGAGGCCAAGGCGGGCGGATCACAAGGTCAAAAGATCAAAACCATCCTGGCCAACATGGTGAAACCCCATCTCTTAAAAAAAAGATTACATCTTGCCTGGTACATAATAGGTATTAATAATTGTAGGGGCCGGGCACAGTGGCTCACGCCTATAATCCCAATACTTTGAGAGGCTGGGGCAGGTGGATCAGTTGAGGACAGGAACTCAAGACCAGCCTGACCAACAGGCCGAAACTCCATCTCTACAAAAAGTATAAGAATTAGCCAGCATTAATAGTGGCGCACCCCTGTAGTCCCACTACTTGGGAGGCTGAGGCACAAAAATCCCTTGAACCCAGGAAGCAGGGGATGCCGTGAGTCTAGATCACACCACTGCATTCCAGCCTAGGCAGCAGAGGCTGCCGTGAGTCTAGATCACACCACTGCATTCCAGCCTAGGCAGCAGGGCAGCAATACTCCATCTCAAAAAAAAAAAGATATTTCTTTCCTACTCTAGTCTTGCCCTCCTTCCTCCTTGGTTCTGTAAGAAATTCAGCATTTTATTTGATTAGAAATTCCTTAAGGGAAAGGACTATACTTTATTTGCCTTTGTAATTCCAGTGTCTTGCACATAGCAGGGCCTCAAGAGAAGATTCTGAGATACTGGGAGAGCAGCACAGAGCAGTCTTTTGTCCCCGTGGCAGTTGCCACCGTTTTATCATACAGGATTTTCTCAGGTGGTACAGAGGGAAGACAAGAGGAGACACAGCCTGTTTTGTAGGATGTGAGGCTGTCCCCTGGCCTCAATGGCCTCAGTCCCCGCTCTTCTTGGAGGCTAAATTCCCTGACACTCACAGTTATGGGCAGAGCCCGGATCCTAGCAGGAGATGGATATCTGGGGAGCAAGTGTGGGGCTGGGGGCAGCCAGGGGATCCACTGAAAGGAGTCTCATCTCTCTCTCCGGAGAAAAAGGAACACCATTCAGCCATCAATGCTGGAGGGAAAACAGCACAATTGGAGGGAGGGGCACCCAGAAGTGGGGTCAGAGCTGCAGGTGAAGAAGGTCTTAGGAGTCTGGAAGGGAGAGGATGAGAGCCTGAAGAGTGAGCAGGAAAGCTTAGAAGCCAGGTCAGATTGGGGAAGAAGGGGCAGAGCACAGTGGCTCACACCTATAATCCCAGCACTTTGGGAGGCCAAGGCAGGCAGATCACCTGAGGTTAGGAGTTTGAGACCACGCTGGCCAACATGGTGAAATCTTGTCTCTACTAAAAATACAAAAATTAGCCAGGCATGGTGGTGGGCACCTGTTCCAGCTACTTGGGCGGATGAGGCAGGAGAATCTCTTGAACTCAGGAGGTGAGAATCACTTGAATTTAGGAGGAGGAGGTTGCAGTGAGCCAAGATTGTGCCACTGAACTCTAGCCTGGGCAACAGAGCAAGACTCTGTCTCATAAAAAAGAATGGGGAAGAAAGAAGGGTACTGGCATATTCTGCTCCAGCCAGGCACAGCTCCAGACAAGAGTGGAGCCAGGTGAGGCCTGCGGAACCCAGGGTGGTGCAGGGATGTGAAAGGTGTTCTCAGCCAGGCTGGCCTCCCCTGGTTCCTTCAGGCCCTTCTAGGCAGAGCACAAAAAAATAATGAGAATGGAAAGAGATTTATCTCAAGGAATTCGTTCACACAGCTGTGAAGGCTGCAAGTCTGAAATCTCTAGGACAGGCCTGCCGGCTGGAAACTCTCAGGCAGGAGCTGACACTGCAGTCTCGAGGCAGAATTTCTTCTTTCTCGGGGAAACCTCGGTTTTGCTTTTAAGGCTTTCCAGTAGATTGGATGAGGCACACCCACATTATCAAGAATAATCTCCTTCACTGAAAGGCAACTGTAGACTTACAGTCACAGACAACTGCTAACCACATCTATCAAATATCTTCATGGCAACACCTCAATTAGTGTTTGATTGAGTAACTATAACCTAGCCAGGTTGACACATACACTTAACCCTCACAATGGGGGAATTCGTTTTCCTTTGAATTGATATGTATTTATTTCCTAATTGTGTTAGGAACATTCTAACTGCTTATCAAAACCTTGATTTCACAGCTGTTATTGCCTAAGATGAGGTTAAGTTTTAAAAGTGAGCTAAGTTAAAGAAACATATAAAGTAAACAATAGTAGGTAGTACTTGAGAGGACAAAAATCACGAAGGTGATAATACCTCACAACTGAAATTTGGAAAACGGTGAAGATGTTTAACTTCTGTAAAGAACACAGGCTTTAAGATCAGAAAAATCTGAATTTGGACCAGTTCTACCTTTCTCCAAGTGTGCAACCTTGGACAGTCTACTTCATTTATTTCATTAACTTCTGCTGTCTTGATCTTTCTTATTTCCTTCTTTCTTCGTATTTTTTTTATTCAGTTCTTTTTTTGGAGACAGAGCCTTACTCTGTTGTCCAGGTGGCACAATCTCAGTTCACTACAACCTCCGCCTCCCCGGGTTCAAGCAATTCTCCTGCGTCAGCCTCCCAAGTAGCTGGAATTACAGGTATGCACCACTACACCTGGCTAATTTTTTTTTTTTTTTTTTGTAGAGACAGGGTTTCACCATGTTGGCCTGGCTGGTCTCAAACTCCTGATTGCAATGATCTGCCCACCTTGGCTTCCCAAAGTGCTAGGATTACAGGCATGAGCCACTGCGCCCAGCCTGTATTTTTATTTAGTTCTTTTTTTTTCTAACTTCTTTTTTTTAAAAACAGCTTTGTTGGGCCGGGCGTGGTGGCTCAAGCCTGTAATCCCAGCACTTTGGGAGGCCGAGGCAGGCGGATCACGAAGTCAAGAGATTGAGACCATCCTGGTCAACATGGTGAAACCTCGTCTCTACTAAAAATACAAAAACATTAGCTGGGCATGGTGGCACGTGCCTGTAATCCCAGCTACTCAGGAGGCTGAGGCAGGAGAATTGCTTGAACCCAGGAGGCGGAGGTTGTGGTGAGCCGAGATCGCACCATTGCACTCCAGCCTGGGTAACAAGAACGAAACTCTGTCTCAAAAAAAAAAACAGCTTTGTTGAGGTATCATTGATATACAATAAGTTTCATATATTAAGGTGTACAATGTGCTAAGTTTTGACTTATGTATCTAAATACCCATACTATCACCATAATAACAAACACAGTCATCACTCACAAAAATTTCCTCATGCTCCTTTTTAAACTCTCCCTCCTTTTTTTTCCTGTTCTTCACCTTACTCCTCTCCCTGCCCAAACAATGACTACCTAACTGATCTTTTTTTTTTTTTTAAATGGAGTCTCACTCTATTGCCCAGGTTGGAGTACAATGGCGCAATCTTGGCTCACTGCAACCTCTGCCTCCTGGGTTCAAGTGATTCTTCTACCTCAGCCTCCCAAGTAGCTGGAATTACAGGCATGTGCCACCACACCCAGCTCATTTTTATATTTTTAGTAGAGATGGGGTTTCTCCATGTTGGTCAGGCTGGTCTTGAACTCCTGAACTCAGGTGATCCACCCGCCTTGGCCTCCCAAAGTGCTGGGATTGCAGTGTGGCTGGCCAACAACTAGTATTTTTTGTGTCACTATAGATTAGTTGCATTTTCTAGGATTTTATAGTAATGGAGTAATACTGTATGCACACTTCTCTGGTCTGGCTCTTGAACTCAGTACAATTATTCTGAAATTCATCCATCTTATGTATATCAGTATTACATTCTATTTTGTTGCTGAGTAGTGTTCCATTCTATGTATATATCATTTTATTCATCTGTTCATCAGTTGAATATTTGGATTGTTTCTAGTTTTTGGCCATGAGAAATAGAGCTGCTTTGAATATTCATGTACAAGTCTTTGTACATTCATGCTTTTCTTTTCCCGTGGGTAAATACTTAGGAGTGGAATGGATAGATTATGTGGCAAGTTTATATTTAACTTTTGAGAAATGAACAAACTGTTTTCCAAAGTGTTTGTGTCAAACAATATTAGTCCATTTTCACACTGCTAATAAAGACATACCCAAGACTGGGCAATTTACAAAAGAAAGAGGTTTAATGAACTTACAGTTCCGCATGGCTGGGGAGGCCTCACAATCGTGGTGGAAGGTAAGGAGGAGCAAGTCACATCCTACATGGACAGCTGCAGGCAAAGAGAGAGCTTGTGCAGGGGAACTCCTCTTTATAAAACCATCAGATCTCATAAGAACTCATGCACTATCATGCAGGAAAGACTCACTCCCCTAATTCAATCATCTCCCACCAGGTTCCTCCCATGACACATGGGAATTGTGGGAGTTACAATTCAAGATGAGATTTGGGTGGGAACACAGCCAAACCACATCAGCCACTTTATATTCCCACAAATAGTGTATGAGGTTTCAGTTCATCAATGTCGTTGCAGCTCACTGCGACCTCCACCTCCCAGGTTCAAACAATTCTCCTGCCTCAGCCTCTCAAGTAGCTGGGATTATAAGCCTGCACCACCACACCCAGCTAATTTTTGTATTTTTATTAGAGATGGGATTTCACCATATTGGCCAATCTGGTCTCAAACTCCTGACCTCAAGTGATCCACCCACCTCAGCCTCCCAAACTGCTACCTCATCTAGCCAATTTTGTAATTTTTTTGAGGCTATGTTCCTAGAAACATGTAAGTTTCCAGTCTTTGCTATTATTGTTTGACTAGTGAATTAAACTTTTTCATTATGTAGAAACTTCCTTTGTCTATGATTTTGCTTATTTTGTACCTTACAGTTGACTTTAACTGTTAGTAATACAGTTGTAACAGATGTTTTTGGTTAGCATCTGCCTAGTGTATGTTTGTTTGTTTGTTTTTGGTATTTTATGGTTTAAAAAAGAAATTTAATAGAGACAGGGTCTGAATATGTTGTGCATGCTGGTCCCAAACTCCTTAGCTCAAGCTATCCTCCTGCCTTGGCCTCCCAAAGTGCTGGAATCACAAGCAGGAGCCACTGTGCCTAGTCACATATTTTATGTTTTTAATATATCTCTTTAAACAACATACGGGCTGGACACAGTGGCTCACACCTAAAATCCCAGCACTTTGGGAGGCCAATGTGGGCAGATCACAAGGTCAGGATTTCGAGACCAGCCTGACCAACATGGTGAAACCCCGTCTCTGCTAAAAATACAAAATTAGCCAGGCGTGGTGGTGCATGCCTGTAATCCAAGCTACCTGGGGGGCGGAGGCGGGAAAATCTCTTGAAGCTTGGAGGTGAAGGTTGCAGTGAACCGAGATTGTGCCATTGCACTCCAGCCTGGGCAACAAGAGAGAGACTTCATCTTTTTTTTTTTTTGAGACGGAGTTTCACTGTTGTTACCCAGACTGGAGTGCAATGGCAATCTCGGCTCACCGCAACCTCTGCCTCCTGGGTTCAAGCAATTCTCCTGCCTCAGCCTCCCGAGTAGCTGGGACTACAGGCGCGCACCACCATGCCCAGCTAATTTTTGTATTTTTAGTAGAGATGGGGTTTCACCTTGTTGACCAGAATGGTCTCCATCTGTTGACCTTGTGATCCACCCGCCTCGGCCTCCCAGAGTGCTGGGATTATAGGCGTGAGCCACCGCACCCAGCTGGAGAGACTTCATCTTAAAAAATTATAATAAAATTAAATTCCTTCAAATAAATACCATTTTATCTGCTTTATTTATTAGTTAAAGCCTCAAATAAATAATTGCTAAATTACACAGGGCTCTAAGAGCTACAGGAGTTGAGAGAGATCTGTGAGTTGAAGTCATTGATGAATACTTCATGAATTATAACTGAAATATGCTCAGAGATTCCCTGGAGGTTTTGATCTTCCTAGGGAAATCATCCCTCCCCACCCCTCACTCGTAACCTAAAAACAATTATTGGCCAGCCTATCCTTCTTTACCCCAAGACCATATGATTCCTGAATAAAGTAGCTTCAAACTCTTCCCTTCTCAGCCATTCTCCAGGTCTCCCTTTCAAGATAGCTTAGTCCATTTTATGGTTCTAGAATGTAAGCCTCATTAGTGCATCATATGGAAGCACTAAAATCAGGTACTCAGGTCTTTCAAAGAATTCATGTTATTTTCTCTAAGTCAAACCCACTCAGTTCCAGTTTCCTCTGGGTAAAGCACCATCCTAAGCATATTATGCACATGATGTTCTTTAAGCCTCTCAAGACTCTCTGGATACTGCCTGGTCTTTCTCTTCTCCTTCACAGCTCTATACTGTGGTCATCTCCTCTCTTCTCACTGTCCCCTTAACCTTGGCATCTGCCCTGTCACTCCTCATCCACAGCTCTCGCTAAGGTCACCAGTGATTTCCGTGTTGTTAAAAGCGCTGAGCGTCTCTCACCTTTTATCATTGTTCCGCATCACTGAGCACTCCCTCTTTCACGAATTACTCTTTCCTTCACTTCTGTGACCCAGCATTTCTTGGCTTGGTTTTAGCTCCCCCTCCCCTTGTCACTTTTTCAGGTTCATTCTTCTCAACCAGTAATTAAATATTGTATTTCCCAGAGGTTGAGACTCAAGCCCTGCCCACTCTTTACCCTGTGCTTAATTCCTGAGGCACCTTGTGCATATGTATAGCGTTGATTACTGTCTGTGCTAATTTTCCCCAAATTTGTATTTCCAGTTCAAACACACAGTCCAGCTGCCTGTTGTACAACTCAACTTGAATGTCTCGGAGGCACCATGTGTCAACAGGTCCAAAGTCACTCAGGCTCGTTCCCCATACCTGCTGCTCCTCTGAGGGGCCCTCTTTTAGCAAATGGCACCATCAGCCATCCAAGTACTCAAACCAGAAACCCAGGCATCCTCCAGGACAATTTCCTCTCTTACAATCTCCCACTCCAACCCATCTAATCTCCTACAAAGTCCTGTCAGTTTTATCTCCTAATCTGTCCACCTCCAACTTCTTCCATTCCTAACCCATTCTAGCTACCATCTTATTTCACCTGAAACATGGTAGTGGCCTCCTAGCTATTGCGCCTAAACTCATTTTACCACCTCTTCCAAAATCTATTGCTAGCTAGAGATCTCTTCTAAAAGCAAATCTGATCATATCAGCCTCCTGCTTCAACCCTCAATGGCCTCCTGCTGATTTTAGAATAAAAACAAAACATGGCCTGGCCCTGTTTATCTCTCCACCCTCGCTTTGTCACGTTTTCTTTTATTCTCTTCCCATCTCACCAGCCTTCTTTCTTATCTTTTACTACAGAACTTTTGTACATCCTGTTCCTCCTTTTATCTAGTTAGCTATCCTCATTCTTCAGTGCCCAAGGCAAGTATCACCTTCCCAGGAAAACCTTAGCCTACCAGGCTCCTCCGAAATAGTTCTGTAAGACCATATTGCCATTTGTGGTAGCTCTTGTCACAGTTACCATCTTAATTTTGTTAATTTTATTTTTTATTTTTTATTTTTTTTTGTGAGACGGAGTTTCACTGTTGTTACCCAGACTGATCTCAGCTCACCGCAACCTCCCCCTCCTGGGTTCAAGCAATTCTTCTGCCTCAGCCTCCCGAGTAGCTGGGATTACAGGCACACACCACCATGCCCAGCTAATTTTTGTATTTTTAGTAGAGACAGGGTTTCACCTTCTTGACCAGGATGGTCTCGATCTCTTGACCTTGTGATCTACCCACCGTGGCCACCCAAAGTGCTGGGATTATAGGCATGAGCTACCGCGCCCGGCCATTGTTAATATTATTATTCAGGTATTGTTTGTTCTCTGCACTAGGCTGTTAGGGTCATTTCGTTTTTTTCATAATTGTGTAACAATGCCTACCATAGTGACTGGCTCATGGTGAACATCCAACAAATATTTGTAGAATGAATAGATTAAAAAAAAAAGTACTATTTTAAAGAAAGGTACTATTATTAACCCCAATGTTACACCATGAGGAAATTAACGCTCAGAGAGGTTAAGTCACGTGCCCAACTAAGAAGTGACTGAGTCAAAATCTGAACCTGCTTTTCTGATCCTAGACCCTGCAATGCTTAAGTATCACTCTGCTTTTCCAAGTGGACCAGGCACCAAAACCAGACCTACCCCCAGCTTTCTAAGGACACCAGTTCCCTGCAGCTACATCTGCATAGTCTTGGAAATTTTTTTTTATAAAGTAGAATCTTGAAAATCAGAACAAAAACTTAGAATCAGCCAGGCACAGTGACTCACACCTGTAATCCCAGCACTTTAGGAGGCTGAGGAGAGAGGATTACTTAAGGCCAGAAGTTCAAGACCAGTCTGAGAAACATACCGAGACCCTGTCTCTACAAAAAAAGTTTAAAAAGTAATTAGCCAAGCATGGTGGCACTCAGCTGCTTGAGGAGCCTGAGGCAGGAGGATCACTCGAGCTCAGGAATTTGAGGCTACAGTGAGCTAAGAAGATGCCACTGCACTGCAGCCTGGGCGACAAAGCAAAACCCTGCCTCTAAATGTCTAAATGTATGTGTGTGTGTGTGTGTGTGTGTACATGTGTGTGTGTGTGTGTGTATATATATATGTGTGTGTATATATATATATATATATATATATATATATATATATATATATATAATTTTTTTAAATAAATCCTGGAATCCTGGAGCTGGATGGGATTTAGAAATGCTCTGGTGAAAAACTACCTATCCAAGTCACACAGCAAGGTGATGACAGATTTAGGGTTAGAACTTCTAGCTCCAGGCCAGGTGTGATGGTGCATGCCTGTAATCCCAGAACTTTGGGAGGCCGAGGAGGGTGGATCACCCAAGGTTGGGAGTTCAAGACCAGCCTGACCAACATGGAGAAACCCCGTCTCTAATTTAAAAAAAAACAAAAAACAAAAAACAAAATTAGCTGGGCATGATAGTGCATGCCTGTAGTTCCAGCTACTTGGGAAGCTAAGGCAGGAGAACCACTTGAACCCAGGAGGTGGAGGTGAACCCAGGAGGTGGAGGTTATGGTGAGCCAAGATCGTGCCATTGCACTCCAGTCTGGCAGTAAAAGCAAAAGTCTGTCTCAAAAAAAAAAGGCAACTTAAACTAGGTGGTATAATCCACAGGTGTTTGTTTAATTTTGGGAGGGCCCAGCATGGTGGCTCACACCTGTAATCCCAGTATTTTGGGAGGATGAGGCAGGTGGATCACATGAGGTCAGGCGTTCAAGACCAGCCTGACCAACATGGTGAAACCCCATCTCTACTAAAAATACAAAATTCCCTGGGCATAGTGGTGCATGCCTGTGATCCCAGCTACTCGGGAGGCTGAGGCAGGAGAATAGATTGAATCCAGGAGGCAGAGGTTGCAGTGAGCCAAGATCTCAGCATTGCACTCTAGCCTGGGCAACAAGAGAGAAACCTTGTCTCAAAAAGAAAAAAAAAAAAAAAAAAAAGAACTTCTAGCTCCACACTGAACACTTTGCACCCTGAATTCTATATACCCACCCTACCTCCACTCCCAGGACGGGAGCTCAGTGTCCAAGGTCCAAGGCTCAATCTGCCAAGAGCTGTGCTTCCAAACTTTTTTGCGTGTGGTTCATTTGTAATTGGTGAGTAGGGTGGGCAAGAGAGCAAGAGATCCCTGGATCCACCTATGCCTACTTTCCATGACTAAAAACAAAACAGAACTCAATGTTACCAACTAAGGGCTATCTTACAAGCAAATTTAGGAGGATTCTTATAAATCTGTTCTAGCAGTGGGCGGGTGGCTGCTTCTGATTTGACCATAATAACTTGCTTTGCTCCCCTTCCTTCCCCAAATGGCAGGCACTGTACTAAACCCATTAACTGCTTTATATTTTCTTGTTTATACAACTCCATAAGGCAAGTTCCATGATTGGTACCACTTTACAGATAAAAAACTGAGGTTCAGTGCGATGGAAATTTATCCCAAATTACAAAGTCCCTGAGGGACAGACTGGGGACTTATTTCCGAATGCTTTATGCTCTTAACCACTGGGCTGTGCTTCCTCAAAAACAAACAGCTGTGTCTACATGCTGTAAGGTAGTAATTAGAAATGTATCCCTTTCACTGCTGTTTGCCTGGTACATTTATTATGTCTTTTAAAAAAATTGCATAATAAAAACAAGCATGAGGTATTCTATGTGTTTAGATATGAAGAGATACACTATTAAGGCCAAAATTAAAGCCATGATAGACTATGTATAATCTCCTGTTGTACTGAAAGTACACATGAACTTCTGGAAGGATATATGATACATAGTTAATCAGTTGGAAGTGGGCTTGGGGAGGCCATAAGCGGGAAGCACCCTTATACTCTTGACTTCTCCACTTCATAAGCAATTATGACTTGTATAACTTTTTAAGTTGAAAAATATATTGCAAATATAAATATATATATATCATTTCACAGCATAGTTAACTAAAAACCCACCACAAACTAAAATTACCCAGGACTAGCAGCAATTGGATCCCCTGTTCACACTCAGGCCAACACCCCTGACAGTGAGACTATGAAGGTAAGAGAGAAGCAATGCAAGCGTTGGAGACAGAATGATCAGGGTTCAAATCCCCATCTCCACCATTTACCAGTTTTATGACTTAAGGTGTGTTGTTTAACCTCCAAACCTCAGTTTCCTCACCTGTGAAATGGGATAACACTGCTTACAAAGCAGTGATAAGGATAAGGGAGCTAATGCCTGTCAAGCACTTTGTATAGCACGTGGTAGGTAGTGAGCGGTCACTAGGACTAGCAGCCGTTTTTAGGCACTGATAACAGAACATTCTTCCCCCATTATAGGAATTCCAACTCTGCTTCATGGTTGGCTGTTAGGAAATGTAAGATTGCCCAGGGTCAAGGGACAGTCAGGCTTCTGGCTAGAAAAAAAGGGCTCATGGCCTTTTAATTTTTTCAGTCTATGTGTCAGCCATGAGACTTCCAGGGTCTGTAGCTATTCCTCAATAATTATTAGCTGTTTGACCTGAGGAGAAAGTTATGCCTGTGAACCTCTGGGGATGGGGTGAGTTTGAGAAATAGATGGTCCAAGCTTTAGTTTCATCCCCATCCATCCCCTGCCTCCAACCCTCTTCCAGGAAATTTACAAGCTTAGAAAGTTTGATCAACCACAGAAAATTTTATAGGTCAGTTTACTTAAGGTGGGGTTGGAACCACGGTGAGCTCACAATTCCTTAACCCAAATTCTGAAATCCAAAACACTCTGAAACCAAAAGTTTTTTTTTTGTTTTTTGTTTTTTGTTGTTGTTGTTTTTTTTAAGTCTAAAGAGAACTCATTCAAAGGAAGACCCTGACCTGGACCACCATAAGATTATTTAACATCTTTATTGATCTCACTTAGGATGACTAGTCATACGATTTACTGGAGAGATATTGATGTGCCTGGTAATGCAGTGCTACCCCAGACCTCACTAAGGGTTTGATATAACATACAGTAGGTGCACGGTATTTCCTTGATAAAATCTGAAAAATTCTGAATTCTGGAAAACATCTGTGGCCAAGGGTTTCAGATGATAGATTGTGAAACTATATTTCTAGACAGGAGTTTGGATCTTCCTTGCCCACATCCCAACTTCTTTCTGTCATTCATCACAGGGTCATCCGTCGGGGCAGAAGAACCCGGCTAAAGACCCAGAAGTTTTGAGGCCCTATTGGGCTGTCAGCACCATGGACAGCAAAACAGCCCTTGAGCGGCTGCCCAACAAATTTGCTAACATCTTGGACTCCGTTTTCCCTGTTTAAGAGAGATTGACACAATGAAGCTTGCCTAAGAAATGCAACCAATTGTTTTCTAATAGTAAAACACAAGGTATAGGGGTGGGAGTTGGGGGATAGTCAATGTGGTCCCGGCAGCGGAAATAAATGTGTTTCTTATCTGTATCCTCCAGCTGGTTCCAGGCTCTTCTCCTCTGACATTATTAAAAGCCTGGCAGGTACTTTGAATGTTTGTTTCCATCAAGTTTCCTTGCCATTCTAATATGCAAACACTCCTAGCTAGTTTCCTTTCTTGCATGTTCCACGTTGTCTAGCCACTGACTTTTCCCAGCCTCACATGCCTAGCAACCAGGTACGCGAGTAAGACCTTGTTAGAAATTGACAGCATATTTCTGCTGGACTTCTCCCAGCTCTGGTCATTCTTTTTTTTTTTTTTTTGAGATGGAGTCTCACTCTGTCACCAGGCTGGAGTGCAGTGGCTGGTGCAATCTCAGCTCACTGCAACCTCCGCCTCCCGGGTTGAAGTGATTTTCCTGCCTCAGCTTCCTGAGTAGCTGGGACTTCGGGTGTGCACCAACACACCCAGCTAATTTTTGTATTTTTAGTAGAGACACGTTTTCACCATGTTGGCCAGAATGATCTTGATCTCTTGACCTCATAATCCGCTTGCCTCGGCCTCCCAAAGTGCTGGGATTACAAGCAAGAGCCACCGCACCCGGCCAGCCCTGGTCATTCTAACAAAAGAGATGTGAAGTAAGCCACAAGTCCCCACTGTTGTTCACGATCAATTTATCATTAGGTACTTGAGGAGGAAAAGAGGGGCTACTGTGAGGTGGTTTACTACTAGGTGAAGTCATGCCCTGCCTCAACGAATTGAGTCCTCTGTCACTGAAACCCACGCTTCAAATGGCCAGCATGAGGTCCCAGGACATCAGAGCTGCAAGGGCCTTAGAGCTTATATACTGGAGGCACTAGAAGCAGAATGGTTGCTTTTCTTCATTCAGCAAATATCAATTAAGTGTTTACTTACATCAGCCCTAAGCTAGAAATACAGCCCCATCCTCCTCCTGGAAACTCAGAGTCAAGTGAAGAAGAGACAAGTAAGATGTAAAAATACAATGCTCTGAGTGCTATGGGAGGGAAAATACAGGCTATTACCAGGAAGCCAGAGAGGGAGCAACCAGCCCAGGCTGAGGAGTCCGAGAAAAGACACCAAGGAGGAAACCCCTGAGCTGAGCTTTTAATGGTGGGTGGGTTGTGGTGGCTTATACCTGTAATCCCAGCACTTTGGGAGGCTGAGGCAGGAGGATCACTTGAAGCCAGGAGTTGGAGACCGGCCTGAGAAACAAAGTGAGACCCTGTCCCTACAAAAAATAAATAATAAATAAATAAATTAGCCAGGTATGGTGGCACATGCCTATAATTTCAGCACTTTGAGAGGCTGAGGCAGGAGGATTGATTGAGCCCAGGAGGTCAAGGCTGCAGTGAGCTATGATCATGCCTCTGCATGCCAGCTTGGGTAACAGAGCAAAACACTGTCTCAAAAAAAAGAAATGAGTGGGGTAAGGGATTTCAAGGAAGCAGAATGGCACATGCAAAGGCAGTACACTGTGGAGAACCCAGACTTGTCACCTCTTTGTACATGTATGTATTTGTCCTTATTCCACAGCTAAAATAATCCTGTCTTTGCTGACCAGAGCAATATCTCATATCTCTTTGTATCCCTAGAACCTACCCTATTTTCTATATATAGTAAATGCTCTCTCAATGGTTCTCAGAGATAATGGGTTTGAGGCCTCACACTATCAGAATGGTAGCCAAGTAGAGGATTTTACAGTAGAAACCAGAAAATAATGGTAGAAATGTGGACACCCTCACTCTATACCTCTAACACTTGCTGTGCTGCACCAAGGAGGAACCTTGACCTGAGGGCTCCAGCAAACTGCAGAAATCAAAATTGATCCTGACTTTGCCTGGCTGAAAGTTCCTCTGGAGGGTGTGTCCTAGCAAAAAGTCCCCTGTACATGTTCCCAGGAAGATTTAGTTTTAGCGTCAGTTCCAGCCATCGTCAGCTCAGTGATGCCATGAGAATTCCATAACTTGTCTGAGCTGCTCCTTTTCTACCTACAAAAGTAGAACTTATGACTGGGTTACCTACCCCAATGCGTATTATGAAGGTAAAAAGAAAAGTAGTCAGATTCACAGCAAGCGCTTTGGAAACACAAAACATCATTCCTATCAGAAGCTATATTCTACTGGGTAAGGAATCACAAAGCCCAGACTCCCCTGCCGACAAGCTGTGGGCCCTGGCCAACTCCTCTCTGGCCTCATTTCTTTCTCTGTGGTTGAATTCTACAGATGATCCTTGAAGATCTTACATTGTTCCATGATTTTTTTAATGCTTTCATTTGCAAACTGGAAGCCTTCAACAGCCTTTGTACACTGTTCTCTGGAAGAGCTGAGCTTTAATCCTGTTTATGTCCTGTTGCTTGTCTATTGGTACCAAAGCTCCCAGTATTGGCTGATTGAATTGAAGCAGGGATAGGCCTGGTTGTCCCTGGAAGATTGCAATGGCTACAGTCCAGAGAGGTCCTCTTGGCTGGAGCCTCGAGGACTGGGGGGATGGCCAGACAGGGAGAGAGATTCAAGTTGCAAACGCAGTTAAAGGTTTCTCCTAGATTTTCAGCATTTAACTGAAGAAAATACTTTCTGGGAAAAACATTGCAGCTTAGCAGAATGAAATGCATTAAATCCCTTACCAGTTTGCTATGTAGTTAGGCACACACACAGTCTCTCTCTCTCTCCCTCCCCACTCTGCACCCTCTTTATCATCCTCATCACTCATTTACTTTCCCCTCCCATTTTCCTGACCCTTCTCGATGTTCCAGCTTTCCTTGATCTCTTCCCCTTTCCTCCCCAAGTCATCTCCTCTGCCACCTCTCTCTCCCCCGCCATTGTATTTCTCACTCCCTGCGTCTTCCCCGCTGCTTTTTATTTGCCTTCCTTTTTTCTGTGAGGATCACTAGGGCTGTAAGGAGAACATAATCCTTTAGAAATGTGACCTCATTTACTGTTATTCTCCCACCAAGGCAGCCCAGGGGTAGAGGTCACTCCCCAACCCCACCACTGTTCCTGCTGGGAGTTAAGATTTTGAGAGAGAGGATGAGTCTTCAAAGGGTACCCAATGTAGCAATCATTCACTCAGTGGATATTTATTTTTATTTAAGCTCTAAAATAATTTTAAGGTAGTGCATATATATTGCAGAGAGTTAGAAAATACAAAAGCAGAATAAGGAACATTTAAATGAACCATAGTTACTTCCATCAAGGGAAAACCCGTAATAGCATTTTGTTTTAATTCCTCCTAGGATTTTTATGGGCTTTTTGGCATACTTATGGTTATATGTGCAATTTTGTAACCTGCTTTTGTCCACTTCATTTTATAACATAAGCATTTCTCCTATGATATTGCAAACTCTTTTAAAATATCATTTAAATTTGTTTACTCATTGTACTATTTTTTGAACATTTATGTATGTTCCAGTTTCTCCGTAGAGATAATTAATACTGTGATGGCCAGTTTTGTGTGCAAAGCTTACACAGTTAGTCAGATATTAAGGTTAAGAGTGAGGCCTTGAAGCCAGGCTGCCTGGATTGGAATCTGGACGCTGTCCTTACAAGCCATAAAACCTTGGGTAAATTATGTGTCCCAGTTTTCACATCTGCATAATAGGGATGATAATAGTACCTACCTTGTGGGGTTGTTAGAATTAAATCAGATTGCCAGGCATGGTGTCTCATGCCTGTAATCCCAGCACTTTGAGAGGCCAAGGTGGGCAGATCACCTGAGTTCAGGAGTTCAGGACCACCCTGGGCAACATGGTGAAACCCCATCTCTACTAAATTACAAAAAATTAGCCAGGTGTGGTCACGCACATCTGTAGTCCCAGCTACTCGAGAGGCTGAAGCACAAGAATTGCTTGAGCCTGGGAAGGCGGAGGTTGCAGTGGGCCAAGGTTGCGCCACTGCACTCCAGCTTGGGCTACAGAGTGAGGCTCTGTCTCAAGAAAGAATTAAATCAGACTATTTATCTAAAGCAGTGCCTCCCATGGTAGTTACTCAAAAAATGTCACCTCTTAATACTGCCTTAGGATGGTTTCCTAGTAGTGAACTTATTCTGTCCTTTGACAGATGGTACCAAATTGCTTTCCAAAAAAAGAGCAAACATGCATTGGCAAATCTACCATGATTTGAACCTAGGTGTGCCGATGCAAAGAATCCTGCTCATTCCACCAGCCCTCCACAGCATCTCTTCAGGCAAAGGTTAGAGATCCCAGCAATGATTGTTCTCCTAGCACCAAAGAAACGAAGTATTGTTAAGACAAAATGAAACAATGCATACAGCATCTGAACAACACCTGACACCTATTAAATTTTTTTTTTTTTTTTTTTTTTTTTTACACAATAATTTATTTATTGAGAGCCTCCTCTCCGCCCTTGCAGTCTCTAGGTCACTTTTTCCGCTTGTAGATTTTGCGCGCAAGCCCCAGAAAGATAGCTGGGGGCAGGGGCGCTGCGTACTGTTCAATCAGAGCCATAATGTGGTTGTAACTGTCTTCCTCATACTTCGAGAACACAGCCGGCAGATCCAGCTCCTCATATAATGCCTTCACTCTGGCCACCTTCTCAGTCTCCTTCTGCCCGTAATTTTCCTTCAGGATCTGGCGCTGTTCCGGAGTGGACCGTTGCAGACACTAGACCACCAGCCAGCTGCATTTGTTGTCCTGGATGTCAGTGCCAACTTTGCCAGTCACACTGGGGTCCCCAAAGAGGTCAAGGTAATCATCCTGAATCTGAAAGAACTCTCCCATCTCCAGCAGGATCTTCTTGGCATTGGCATGCTCCTTCTCGCCATCAATTCCTGCCATGTACATGGCTGCAGCTACAGGAAGGTAGAAGGAGTAGAAAGCCGTCTTGTACTTGACAATGGATTTGTACCTCTTTTCAGTGAATCTGTCGAGATCCACATTGTCCTGAGGGGCTGTGATGAGGTCCAGGGTCTGCCCAATCTCAGTCTGATAGGAACTCTGCAGGAAGAGCTCGATCAGGTTCAGGTAATAGGGCTGCTCCCGGCAGTAGAGCTTCAGCAGGCGGTAGACACATGCTTCCAGAAGGACAGCGTCATTGATGGCATCCAGACCCAC